AAAGCAACAAGGCCAACTGACCATCGTTACGGCTGTGTCTAGATGCTCCCCAAAGCCTCATGTGGTCATAGGTATGGCTATGCCAGCCTGGATCTAGAGTGCGTGACTGGTTCAAAGTGCAACGCTAGGATTAAGGGTGGGTGATTACTAAATCAATCCACTGATTGGTTTGGCACCGCCCTAATCCTGGACACCTGGATTTGATATAAGGGACAGAAAGAGGCTTGTCTTGTTCCTTGCTTGCTTGCTTTGCCACCTTCTGCCCACCATGAACTTTTTCTCCTCTGCATTGCCTCTCTGCCATGCCTTGCTGCCTTGAAGCCAGCCAATTATGGACTGAAACCTGTACAAACCGTGAGCTAAATAAAACTTTCCTCCTTTAACTTTGGATGTTTTGTTGTCTCAGCAACAAGAAAAGCAACTAAGACAATCATCAACTGGAACTTCTGAAAGTATAAGCCAAAATAATCCTTTCCTCTTTATTAGCTGGTTTATTTCAGATGTTTCTTACTAGAAAACTAACATGCCTCATGACTTGTTATTTTTTTTCCAGTACCGGGGATCAAACCCAAGGCAGGTGGCAGCACCACTGAGCTAAATCCTCAGCCCCTCATGACTTGATTTAACCAATCAAAATGACTATGTACTTCTGAGTTAAGCTCACAGCTCCAGTTCCCTCCCTGAAATGCTGACACTGTCACAAGAATAAGACCAGGCTGGCATGCTGGATGATAACTGACTTGTAGCCTGACTTGTAGCCCAGTCATCCCATTGCCCTAGCAGACAACTAGCTTACCACCAGACATGGGAATTAGGCCAGTCTCATGAACAAGCCCCTCCAAGACCAGCCAAGCCTGACCACCCAGGTGATGTATAGATTAATTGCTCTGAACTATTGAATTTGGGGATGCTTTGTTATGCAGCACTACTTGTGGTAATTGATAACTGATTCAAGCACATAATTTAATGCTCAATACTTATGTACAACAAATAGCCAGGCATGGTGGCACACACCTGTAATCCCAACACCTGGGAGGCTGAGGCAGGAGAATTGCTACAAATTTGGGGCCAGGCAGCAGAATTACATAGTGAATTCAAGGGCAACCTGAACTATATAGCAAGACCCTGTCTCAAAAAAAGAAAAAAACAAAACAAAAAAAACTAAACTAAATAATATATACACCAAATGAATTCATGAATGAGAAGTAATAAAATGTTCACCTTATTGGTCCTTATTACTCTAATACCAAGAACAGGCCTAGGCAAATATTTTTGAATGAATGAGTACAGAGTAACAGGTCCTATTATGGGGTGGGGTGCAGAGGAGAGAGACCAAACAAGATCCTTAGCCTTCACGGGATTAGGAGGGAGTCTTCTGGGGTACCATGAAGGGGAAGGCAGAAGCACATCACATACCAGGGAGCCAATGGTTGAGCCTGTCTTCACCAGGAGCTTTGGGCTGGCTATGGCCTGGGTGGTGACTCTGGGAGCAAACCAGAGCGGCACTAAAGAAGATGTCCTTGCAGCAGGAGACAGCACTCAGCCCTGGACAGGGGGCTCCAGTCCTGACCTCAGGTCCCCTAGTGCCACCTTTCCACATGTCTGTGCGCCCAAGGGCTGGGTTTCCTACTTGTGGCTACTATCCACCTCTGAGTTTTCTGTAAAGTTAGTGAAAAGGCAGAATCCTGGGCCTGCCCAGAACCAGCAAATCAAAACCTCCATAGGAGGAGCCCAAGAACCTGTATTTTAAGTGATTCCAAACTGCCCTTCAGGAACCTAAGCCAGAACAGGATGACTGGCCATCACCAGCCAGAGTCTGGAGGCTAAAACATGGATTCTGGGAGAGCAGAACAAGGCCGTGTGACATGGGGTGCTCAGCTGCTTATGCCTTCCTGCAAACCTGCTTTACAGAAGGAGAAGCGAGGGTCAGACTCTGTAAGAGTTCTATCAGCCAGACCCACTGTCGGGATTTTTGATTTGTGCCATAGAGGAGTCACTCGATAACACGCCTTGTCTTTTGTTCTAAGTCTCCACACAGGTCATCTTAGGCTCACTAGGTCACTGCTGAAGGTGGGATGCAGGCCCAAATCAGTAAGTGAACGGACCTGCATCACACAACAGAAGGTCCTGGTGGCCTCAGGAAAAGAGCTAGGACGTGGAAGAACTATCACTCTGCTTTCTGTGCAACTGGAGTAATTAAATGTCTCTTCTTCTATGGTTGAGCTAAATGTTGTTCTCAAGGCTGGAGTTTTGTTTGTGTGTGTATATTTTAAATAAATTTGATAATTGAGCCACAAATGTTCCCAGCACACTTGGGCATATTTAAATTACAGGCTTCTGATCTAATGGAGAGAAATCACCAATATGGGCATAAATGATGGCTTTTGTCTGCTTAGTGCTTTTCACAACACTCAGATGGCTCTGTCAGCTTAATGGCCACTTCCAAAGCTGCTGGGAATAAGGGCAGGGGAGGGGCTGGAAATGTGACCACAGGAAGTGAAATTCCATGGTGACAAATTGTGCTCCTTTTAAGGAAACATTTCATATTTGCCTGTAATTTAGCTCAACAAGCCAGTTTGGAAAAACACAAACCAGGCTGGGGTTGCAGAGCTATTGAGCACGCATGAGGTCCTGAGTTCACTTCCCAGCACCAAAAAAACAAAAACACAAACAAATCAAGCTGGCAAAAGGAATTTTTTCCCCCTCTGGCTGCAGCACTGCCTGCTTACAGCTAACAGCAAGAATTCCACTCCTGATCACTGAAGAGGACTGTGGAACCAGGGGTCTTAGTTCCAAATTTCCTTTGGCCCTTGTTTCGGGGTCTGGGCAACTAGAGGCTTAGTGCCCACCTATGATAATCATTGTATAGTAATTGGCCATCTATTATCAAATAAAAATCAAATTCAGACAGAGTTTTAGTTGAAAGGGTTGTTACAGGGAAGAAAGGGGCTCTAGTTTCAGGGGGAAAAACACTATTGCAAGAGAGAGGACCTATGTCCACAAGATCTGCAAACACCCTGAGGGTTAAGCAAAGAGCTCTTCTCTTGTATGGAGGGAAAACGAAGGCTAGCAAGGGAAGGAAGTAGGGTGAGAGGGTGGCGTGATGGGAGAGAAGGTCATAGACATTTTACCCTGAAGTGGGGCTGTTCTCCGGAAGAGCTGTGCACTGCTGGAGCTGAGGGCAGGCCAATACTCAGGGTCCTCAGGAAAGAGAGAAGCTTAACCAAAGTTCTGTTCATAAATGTTTTGTTCTGATCATTGAGGACAAGCAGTTTAGCTGATCACTTATTAGACAAAGCATGGAAACTGTGAGGGTCTGTGTCTGGCCCTGTCACCAAAGGGATACCTGTCCCTGAGTCCTATGCCTCCGTGTGTGTGTGTGTGTGTGTGTGTGTGTGTGTGTGTGTGTGTGTGTTACCAGGGACTGAACCCAGGACCTTGTGCTTGTGAGGCAGGCAGCGGCACCACTGAGCTAAATCCCCAGCCCCTGAGAATTATCTAAGTCTTACAAGGTAGGGTGTTTTTGTGGTAAACTATTCTGGAACAACAACAACAAACAGAGTGTGAGGAATACCTCCTACTTTCACTGTTTTCCAGGGGAACTATGCTAAGGTAAAATTCAACACTGTCAGCACACAATGGAAGAAACAAACGCAGGTAGACAGACACTGGACCTGTGACTGCTGGGCATAGTCACCATCACCTCAGTGAGCTTAGTAGGTTATGAAAACCTATTTCTCTGCTTTACTTACTCTCTACTTAATTGGGAATGATCATTATTATCACCACAAAGCTGGGTCCTGACACAGCAAAGAACAGTCCTTCTCCTTGGTCCTGGATTCTTTGTGCCTTTGATGAAAAAATTCAACCCAGACATATAAAAGCTATGCAGAAGTCTAAGTAGAATTTGTTGTAAAGAAGATACAGAGTTATGCCTTCAAGAGAGAAGATGGTAATTGTCACAAAGACATCTCTCTTGAGTGTGAGTCTGGGAACATTTTTATGCACATAAGTTATTCTTGAGGTCCAGAGAACTATGACTATCATAGTTTTATTTACATGATCCGTATGCTTATGGGCATTTCTCTTAGGAGTCACTCTGGGTGTCACTATCTCAAAAATGTCTTCCTTGCTCCTTTCAGGTTGTCAGTGTTCCCTAGTGGTTCTTAATTCCTTAAGAATCTAAATCAAGTCTCAGCCTCAGGAGGGAGAGTCTTTAAAGAATGCTCCCCTTGCTAATACCATTCTTCACGGCCCAGGGCGTATGCCTTTCGTTGGAAATACATGAGCAAATGGCATGTGCAGTGAGTACTCTTAAAATGTCATTGCACTCTGTAGGACTGCTTTAGGTCTGAGACCCAACAAATGATCTAAGTCTTTGTTTCTTAACTCTAACTGGCAAAACATGTTATTTTGGACCACCCTTTGTCCATCAGGCAAGCTAGTGTCTAACTACCTAACAACTATATCAGCTAGCTATGATTTTGTGGGCAGTGCCCCCCCACTTCACCCCTCGCACTGGGGATTGAGCCCAGGACCTTTGTCCTGAGCTATATTCCCACCTCTTTCTTTTCTTTTGCTGTTTTTTGAGACAGTCTTGCTAAGTTGCCCAGGATAAGCTCAAACTGATCCTCTGGCTTCAGCCTCCCAAGAGATTTTAGTATTTTTTTTCAAGTGACTTTTGGAAGGAGGGGGTGCTAGCTTAGTTCCTAAAATACACTGATCTGTTGCATTTGGGCAAGCCTCGGTTTCCTCATCCCTAAATAAGACACAGTAATCTTCTCACAGGTAATTGAAAGGATTAAATAAGACTGAGGAGTATAAGGGGCCCAGACAATGCTGACACATTCCCGGTGACCAGGTGACCAGCCATCGAATCTCCTTCCCCTCTGTCTCTAGTACCAAAGTGGGCAGGGCTTCGCGCTCCCTCTGGGCCACGCTCAAAATTGCCACACCTCTTAGCGTCAAGTGGAGGGAGAGGTACGTCCCTGACCACCTACCTGCAGCTGCGCATTGAAACCCAGGTCCTTTCCCCTGCAACGGGTCATGGGTGCAGCGGGGGTTCAAATTCTGGATCTGTGAGTTTCCAAAAGTATGTGTCCACTTTATTTCACTCAGCCTGTTTATCACTTGGCAAAACGGGGAACTACAATCCTACGTAGATGTTGGAACTAAATAAGATGGTGGGTGTGAACTTCTGTACGAAGTTAATCACCTTTACCGGCCAAGACTCCCCAAAGGAAGTCGGCCATTTACAGAAAGGGGCGGGCCGAGATATCAGTAGCTCGGCGCTCCTCTAGGCTTCGCGTAGCGACCAGTCGAGCTGCGAGCGATCGATGCCCCTGGCGCAAACTGACTGCTGAGATCCGCCGCGCTGCGACCAAGCGGAACAAGTTGGCGTCAGCCCCGGGTCAACCTGACCCCGTCTGGACGCCAGAGAGGTTAGTGTGAGCTACTCGAAAACACAGGCCGCGCTGGTTCCTTAGAAATACAGGGGCTGGGCTGGGAAAGCTACAGCGCTGCAGCGCTACCGCTAAAGCTCCGTGGGGAAAAGGATGGCTATGCGCATGCGCCATGGAAATGCCCGAAGCCGGGAACGCCATTTACGTGGCCGGCCTCCGGCTTTCTGCGTCTGGGCCCAGTGGGGAAACTCCCGGCGTGCGTAGCGTGCGTCCGGTGGCGGTCGGCCTGCGCTTGCGCGAGGCTGGGCGGGGCAGTTGGCGCGCGCCTGCGCCGTCCTGGCGTGTCGCGGAGAACCCAAAGTTTAGCCAGCCGCATGTATCTACAGGTGTGTTTGTGGCGATGGGTCTCATCCCTCAGCTGCTCCGGTGCCAAGCGGCGTTTGTCGCCCAGTGAAAACGATTGTTCCATCGGGCCTCGCATACCGAGCTAGCAGCAGTACAACTCTGGGAAGATGCCAGGGAGGGAAGGGGGTGTGGGGGGAGGGTTGGTGTGGGCTACACGCACCTGACCGGTCCCGGGCCCCTCTGCCCCAAGGAAAGGTGCTTGCCACCCAACAGGAAGTCACTCTGAGCACGAGTGTCACTTTGCCACACTGGTGATCCGGCAAAGTGAGCCACCGTTCCCAAAAGTATTAAGTGGCAGGGGCACAGTACCTGCACAGTTGTCCAGACCTTGCTGCAGAGTTAGTTACTGAAAGGGAATAGTGACACTCAACAACTAGGCCACACACACACACACACACACACAAAGGGGTGGGAGTAGAGGGAGAGAGCAGAAGGAGAGAAGAGAAGAGAACAAAGAAAGGAAGGTCCTTTTATTGGTTTTGGGCTGGGCTATTGCTTATTCATGAGGAGTGGGCTACTTTTAACCTATCACAGGCCAGGTTGTCTTTTATGGGTCCAGCCCTGCAGAAACAGGTTTCAACTTTTCTGGACCATTGTGGCCTTGGTGGGAGGGAAACTAAAGATAAGAGCATGAAGTCATTCTAAGAGCCGAGAAGCACCAGGAAAATGCAGCCTGTGATGGCAGCGTCACAGCATACTTTAACATGATCAATTCCCTAACAGTTACAGAGCCCTTTTGCATGTGGAATCCTCCTGCAGTGAACCCAGACTGCTCCCAGAAGGCCGGGTAGAGGCCGAGATGACCTGAAAAACTCCATGGGAAGAAGCGTTTCTGTGACCCATTTTGAGTTGGTCACCGGTTTAAGACCCTCTGGAGATCATGATGGGTTCTGCAGAAGCCCTGCCACCAGCGTGCTTAAACACAACACAGAGAGGTGCTTAAAAGAACTGATTTCTGGGCTGGGGTTGCTGCTCAGTGGTGCTGCCTGCATTGCAAGCACAAGGTCCTGAGTTCAATCCCCGGTTCTGGGGGGTTTGGGGGGATGAAAGAAGAAAGCTGATTTTTAAAAATAAGACCGTGACTATAGAGGAGCTTCCTGGAAGGCTGAATCTTATAGCCACCAGGAGCCCATTTGGACTGTGTTCTAACAGCAAACTATAAGCTAAGTTGCATAGTGGATCCTGGATGGTGAATTTAGGAAGTCAGGACTTGGTCTGTTTGGGCTGTGTTGTGACTTGACTCCTTTGTGATTAATCCCACGAGAAGCTCTCAGACTGATTTGTAAAACCAAAACAAAACCACTCAGATCATGCAATCTTTTCCTGACTCCTGCTTCCAAAAAGGATAATTTTGTACACCAATAAATGTACCTTTATATAAGGAGCTTTCAGGGGTGGCTGACTTAACTCTACTGAGAAAAGTCTTACACAACTATTGACCTTAGGAGACCAACAGCTGAAAGCTGTCCTGTGTCACAAGGCCAGTGCCCATGACACTTGAAGGCCAGTTGGCAAAGCCAGGACACAAGTCCACTCAGGCTACTTCAGTACTGGAGTACTGAAGTACTGAAGTACTTCAGTACTTCAGGGCACTCCCACCCCTTCAAAAGGAAATCTCTGACCAAAAAGCTCTTTTAAGGCCAGTACCTGCCAAGTTCTGGGAGACGACCTTACAAAGTGAGGGTACAGGCCCATTCAGGCTTTCTCATATGGCCTCTACTTGGGTGACTGTAGGTGTCATTTTGCCTGGAGTAACCAACACCAGGTTTTTATTTGTCCAGGCATTTGTATAATAGTGTCCTGTTTAAATGATAAATTGTAAGCCGGGTGTGGTGGCGCACGCCTGTAATCCCAGCACTCAGGAGGCTGAGGCAAGAGGATCGTTGTGAGTTCAAGACCAGCCTGGGCTACATAGTGAGTTCCAGTTCATTCTCAACTACATAGTGAGACCCTGTCTCAAAAAACCAAAAAAAAAAAAAACCATAAATGATAAATTATAAGGTTGGCTCACCTATACCTGACCATTTATATGCCTCACAGTAACCCATTATGTGGAGCTTTAGGAAACCAATCAAAAGGGCAGTCTCCGTCTTGACTCTGTCCTCGAAAATGGGTTAACACAGCCTTTTACAAAAGGCAATTCAGTGAGGAGTTCCAGGAAGCCAGTCAACAAGGCCAGGCCACAAGGCTGCTCAAACTGGTTGTTCCCTCTGGAAACTGCTCCACGGAACAAGTAAGAAGCCGTCTGATGAGACCAAGATGTGGGTATGATTCACAAAGCCTGGATGTGAGGACCTTTGGAAGGCAGCTCCCTGGAGCCCATACCTGATCATGGCTGGAGGACCAGCTCAAGTAGTTGTGGGAAGGCTGCTGCTTCCAGCCCACATGAGGCCACTTTCTGGAAGGTTGTTCATAGAGCCAACAAGAAAATGTTCCCACAGCCAGTCCAGGATCCTTATCCTCCAAGGCCCTCCTGTGGCTGACAGGAGCTCCCTGAGGCTGCTTCCTGGAGAGGTGAATGACACAACAAATAGAAAGCTTGCTGTCATTTCTTTATTATTGAAATCCCTGGAAGATTGATTTGTAAACTTAAGGCAAAATCCAGTTTCACTTGCTCTTCAGGTAAGCTATGGGCTGTAAGGAGGCAAGATTTTTAAAACAGGTCACAGGGCACTTTGGAAGTATGTTTTGTTTGTCCAGGTGTAGCACCTTGCCCAAAGTCTGAGGTGGCACTGTTTAAATGATCAAATTTATGAAAGGTTCTGGGAACTTGGGGGCAGGCCCTAGGACCGACAAGGCCAGCTGCTGCCAGTTACTTCATGCAAGGCCCTATAGGGGGCTTTGTGTTATAAGATCAGTCTTGAGGCCCATCTTGAGGCCCATCCTGAGGCCTTTGCAAGGAGCCACAGAGGCAATCTGAAAGCCATTTTGAAAACTGGACCTTGTACATCTGGCCTGAGGTTCCCATGGAGGGTCAGCTGTGTTAGGCATTCACTGAAGAAATCTACATTTTAAAAAAATTACTCAGATTGTTTTATGTGGCCAGGAGGAGGCCACTCTTTCTCAGAGTGCTGTTTCCCATGATGTACAGCACGAAGTCCTCTCCTGGGTCAGTTTGCAAGGAGCACACAGACTGCCTTAGGAGGCCAGTTTCTGAAGACCAAACAGCTATACTTGGAGTAGGGGACAAAACATACAGGGCTACCTTGGCTTTGTAAGGCGTGTATGGTCTTAAAAGGTCACCCTGGGGTGCCAATATGCACAGTCCATAGTCCGCAGCCCAGGAAACTATAGTCCATTGGAAACGGTATGGGACACCATTTCACAGGGCCTCTAACATCATTTTCAGAGTAAAACAGGTGGCCCTCTGGGAGGTTGTTTATGGGCCTTTCTGGCAACCAGGCTATGAGGCCCCTGAAGTCTTTGGGTTCTCATGATGAAACTTTTCCACATTGCTTTAGAAGACTCATGCAGGACGCATGAGACAAACCCAGGGCAGGCCAGAGTCCCTGCTGTCTCAGGCAGGTGGATAAGACCATCTTGGGAGGTTGGGCTGTGAAACTATCCGAGAAGGCTGTTCTCAAGGCTGAGACAGAACACTCATGAGCCTTCTAGGAGGACGGAAATAGGAACTGTCCTGGCAGGTGGGGGCCAGACCACCAGGGCTGTCTGATTCTCCCACCCACTAGAGCGGAGGGAAGGGTTTCCAGTGTGAGCCTGGATGGAGCAGTTCCCACAGTACCTGGTCCAAAACCTGGTGCACCTCACCTCAGAAGCCAAAGAGCTCTAGGTCGATGTTGCCACACTGCGGAGTTCTGAACAGATTGCCTGCTTCATCTCTCTTTTTTTTTCCTCATTGAGTTTATTGGTACATTTTAGGTATACAGTACAGTTACGTTCATTATTGGGATCTTGTACCTTTACACGACAGGTCTTGGTTCTCGTTTTTTCCCCTTGTCCCTGCCCTCCCTTCACCCCCTTCTCCCCTCCCCATTTGCAAACATTTTATTTCCACTTTTTCATTTTCTCCTATTTTTTCCTTTCCCTTACTCCCTTTCCACTTTCCGCACACCTTTAGCTCTTTCCTTCCTATTTCACATTGTCAATTATATCATTAGGATCTTGTGTACTGTTATAGTTTTTCACACTTCCCCTTGTCCCTGCCCTCCCTTCACCCCCTTCTCCCCTCCCCATTTGCAAACATTTTATTTCCACTTTTTCATTTTCTCCTATTTTTTCCTTTCCCTTACTCCCTTTCCACTTTCCGCACACCTTTAGCTCTTTCCTTCCTATTTCACATTGTCAATTATATCATTAGGATCTTGTGTACTGTTATAGTTTTTCACACCAGAGAAACACTTTTAAATATTGACACATGTGTGACTTATTTATTTCACTTAGGAGCATATCCTCAATATGTATCCATTTTCCTAAGAGTGAATCTAATTTCTCATTCTTTATGCCTGAGCAGTATTCCATTTTATAGAAAAACCACATCTTCTTTATCCAGTTTCCAGCTGATGGACAAATGGCCTGTTTCCAAGTTTTAGCTATTTCAAACTGTGCCACTATAAACATAGGTGCGCATATATCTCTGTGATATGATTCTTTTAATTCTTTTGGAAAGATACCCAGCAGGGGGATGGCTGGGTCAAGTGGAACCTCAAATCCCAGCTCTTTGTGGTATTTCCATACTGATTTCCATAGTGGTTGCACCCGTCTGCACTCCCACCAACAGTGGAGGAGGGTTCCTTTCTCCCCCATAGCCCCGCCAGCACGGTATTGGCTGATTTCTTGATAGCAGCCATTCTTTGTGGGGTGAGGTGGAATCTCAGTGTTGTTTTCATCTGCATCTCTCGAACGACCAGTGATGTGGAACATTTTTTCATATATTTACTTGCTGCTTTTACTTCTTTGTCTGAGAAATGTCTGTTCATTTGCCTGCTTCATCTCTTGACTTAGAGACTTCCTATGTTGGTTGGACTAAAATGCTTGATATTCACAGCTTAAGGAGGGGAGGTTGATTTTGACCACCTTGTGTAGTTTTGAACAGATTGCCAGATTCACCTCTTGTCTCATACACTTCCTTTGCTGTTGGTATAAAGCCCTGGACACCCTCAGGTTAAGGAGGGGAAGTTTACCTTGGCTTACAGTTTGTGGAGTCTCAGTCTCTGGTCTTCTGGCTCCAGGGCAGAAGAGGCACAGCACAGGGGCAAGCAAAGAAGGGCTGCTCAGGGCGTGTGTCCGGGAAGCAGTCACAGGAGGGGCTGGGAGGGAGACACGCTCTCTGGGCCCTACCAACCCGCCTGTCCCAGGCAGACCCAACTCTAACAGCAAGTCATTTATGCCCCCGGTCAGGTCACCTTCCAGAGCCCCATCGTGGCCTGCACCAGGCTCTGGGGTGACATCTAGACATAAACTGTAACACCTCTGAAACCTCACATCAGAGGATCGGAAGGGGCGAGTTAGGTGCTGTCCAAAACCACACAGCACAGACATGGCACACACGAAGATCGACCAGAACTCAAGCCCCCTGGGCACAAAGGATTGACTGTGGGGCTTTGGGCAAGTCACTTCATTTTTTTCTTGGCTTTGGTTTCCTCCTCAGCAAAATAGAAGGCTGGTAAATCCACCCTCAGTACGGAGGGAAAGAGCGAGGTATGGTGGTACGCACCTGCAATCGCAGCTCTCTGGGAGGATGAGACGAGAGGATCACAAGTTGGAGCCCAGCAATTTAGCAACTTAGCAAGACCCCGTTTAAAATTTTTAAATGGTTGAGGGTGTGGCTTATTGCTGAGGCCCTGGTTCAATCCCAATTACCACCACCACCCCAAATATACAAATATATATATATATATGAATGAAGAATATATATTCCCAATGTTGGGAAGCCCGGATACAGGCTGAAGAACTAAGAACAACTCCGAGTTATTCTGTTACTTTAGGACGGGCCGGGGAAAGCAGCTGCAGTGATAGGTGAGAAAGCTGTGTCCTTCTCTTATTGAGGAGTGATCTGATGCTCTCCTCTCCAGGCAGCCCTCTGTCACAGGCTTCCCTTGTGAACTCACCCCGGTCCCCAGGGCCTTCACGTGCTCTTGATCGTGGGCCACTGCACCCCTCCTCTGTGCGGTCTTAGATCACAGTCTCAGCCCCACCACTCTGCTAGCTGAATTGCTCGGACAGGTTATTCCTTTCTCTGCCTGCGTCTCCTGCTCTGTAAAACGGGGGTGGTGATGCTTTTTCAGGGCTTCTGTGAGAACTCAGAGTGGTGGAGGAAGTACTCACAGCATCCCCCGTCAAGCGCTGGATACGGCATCCGTGGGGCTCCCTGGGCTCTGCCTGCTGTTGACTCCAGAGTCGGGGGCGGGAGACAGGGAGCTTCAGTGGGCCCAGGGACGGGTGGAGATGTGGAGGCCTCCTTCGTAGACCTCTGGCGTGGCCCTGCTTCCTGTCCGCTGCCTGCTCTGTTCCATTCTTCTGGGAGGTGCTCGTTGGGGAGAGTCATCGCTCATGAATTGATAGATTAACAGATTACAGCGGAAGTTACCCCCAGAGTGGGCCTGTCAGAAAAGCCAGTTGGTGGGGGCGGGGAATTAGCTCAGTGGTTCCGCCGACTGCACAAGGACCCGGACTCGATCGCCAGTACCAAAAAAGAAATAGAAAAGCCAGTTGGGCCGGTTTGGCTGTCTTCTCAGAGTCCCTGCCAGCAGGAAGTCCCCTCCTGGTGCCCTGCCTGCTCTGAGGCTCCCTGTCTTTGTCAGTCACCCAGGTGTGCCCCCGTCAAAGCGACGGTTTCTGTAACAGCTGCATGGGTGTCAGTTAGACCTCGGGTCTCTGCACACTGAGCTCACACCAAGTGCCAGCCAAGGAGGCAGACAGCCCCCCAGCAAGGTGCCGGTTACGGTCCAGAGCAACCTCGTCACCAAGAGGTGTTCCGACCCCGCCACCCTCTGCTGCGGTGAGTTAAAGACCCTCTCTCTTTCTGCGGCTGCTGTAGAAGGCACCATAAGCACGGGGCTGTGAGCGGCACTGATTTTACCTCACAAATTTGTAGATAGAAGTTTAATGTGGGTCTCACTGGGCTAAAATCCCAGTATCAGCAGGCTTATGCTCTTCTGGGGAGGCCTGAGGGGAGAATCCATTTCCTTGATTTTTCTCAGCTTCTACACATTGCTCGCATTCTTCTCAGCTGTGTCCCCTCCTGTCCTCAAACCTAGCAGTGGTGCACAGCTCCGACCTTTCTACAAAAATCACGTCCCCTCCAGTCCAGCTTCAGTGGGGAGCGGTCTGTGTAAGACCTTGTGTATTGGGCTGGGCCCCTCCACAGGGTGTGGGATAATCTTCGCACATCAAGGGCGGTATTCTCAGCACACCTGCAGAGGCCCTTTGGTCATGGTAGGTGACATTGTCTGAGCTTCTAGAGACTGGGCCATGGACATCTGCAAGGAGCCATTATGAGAAAGAATAGGGAAGGTAGAAGTTCCTGGATTAGGGCAGGCTAGCATACCAGTATCAGCACTTTTGAGGCAAACACATCTATCCTGCCTAGGCTTCTCCCCAGCTGGCAGTTTCCGGTCACCATGTGGCCCTCGTATCCCTAGGAGCCTCAGAGTCCTTCAGTTGTGGCCAGTGGGTAGGTTCACAAGTTGCAGGTGAGCCCAGGAAACAGCTTGTGTTCCTAGAAGAAAAGATAATTTTGTGAGGATAGAGCAAGGGGTGGCAAGCCGCATCCAGCCCACCATCTGTCCTTATGAATAAAGTTTTATTGGAACACAGCCACACCCTTTGCTTCCTGTGTGGTGTGGCCACCTTCACGCTGAGTGACGGAGCTGTGGGAGCAGCGAGTGTGTGACCTGTAGAGCCAGAAATCTTTCCTAGCTACTTCACCAGCGCCCAGCATACAGCATTCTCTGCAAAGCACGCTGGACCCCATGATCAGCATCAGATGAGATGTTGCTAGAGAAAGGGGGTTTATTGACTCACAGTTCTGGTGGCTGCAAAGCCCAGACGGAATGGCACTAGCGTTAGTGAGGGCCCCCTCTGCACTGTACCATGCTGGAGAGGTGGAAGGGGCACGGGTGCCTGCGAGGAGGCCAGACGTGGGCGGCCTCCCTTCTGAACTGCTCCGGGTAGCTGCCCTCTGCTGGTGGCCCTTCCCACAGTGGCCCCGCCCCGCCCCCTAAAGGTTCCGATGTTCCTCGGCGTCGCCACCTTTGGGCCGAAGCTTCCAGCACATGAACCTTCGGGGGACGGGCCGCCTCCACAGCACGGCACACGTCGCAGCTGTGGGGATGCACGACGGTGCGAGCACTGATCCCCTGTGCGTGACAGCGCACACTGCCATCCGCTCCCAGGGCCCAGGCTGAAGCCACCCGAGGCACAGCCGTAGCGCCCCCCACCCAGGCATCTTCTGAGTCATCGGCCTGCTGCTCCTGCCTCAAATACCTGACAGGAATCAAGTTGGAAAGAGCAAGGGTTCCCCTTGGCTCGTGGTCAGCAGGTTTCAGCCCAGGTTCTCCTGGCCGCACTTCTTTGGCCTGTGGCATGGTGGGGTGACAAAGGAGGCCACTTCGCCTGGTGGGGAGCAGGAAGAGGGACTGGGGTCCCTGGATCCCCTTCAAGGGCGCGCCCGGTCACCTGACTTCCTCCGCCCGGCCCCACCTCCCGATGGTTTCTGCAAAGCATGGCACTTGTGAGAAACTGTCCCTCACCTCCTGTGCTGAGCGTCTGCCTGTGCTCTGCGGAGTGGGGAAACGATGGTGCCGGCCCTGGAGAGCCAGCCGGGTAGGGAGCTGTCTATACCTGTGTCCCATGAAAGCGCTGTCAGAGAAGCCCAAGGGCCTGGGGAGCCCAGCACTGCTGGAGAATTCCACAAACTCTGCGTAGGGCATCATTTAAGATGGGCCTGAACGGTTGGGTAGGAGTTTGCCAAGCCAAGGAGGAGGGATGTTGAGGGCATTCCAGACGAGGACATATACATGCTGCTCGAGAGCCCTCACTGGGAGCCTGGCATTGTGCCAGGCCCCTGCTTGTGGAGCATGTGCCCCACAGAGATGACCTGGAGAACGCACTGCAGGCAGGCCGTGGGTTCTGGCCTGGTCTCACTCTGGTCTTGTCCCTCAGGTGCTGGTCTGACTGGGCTGCCTGGTCCACATGGCAGGAGGTCCCGAGGGGCTCAGAGACGCCCTCTGGGACGCCCTCCTGGCGCTCCTGCCACCCACGAAGGAGGAGCTGAAGCTGGACCTTGGCGAGGAGGTGGACAGAGGCACGGTGCTGCTGCTGCAGCAGGCGGCGGAGCTGTTCCTCGGGGGCCGGCGGGGCGAGTGTCTGCAGGCCAGTGAGGCCGTGCTGGACCATGCCTGGGAGAAGCTTAACGCCGGGCCCTGGCAGGATGTGGGCAAGGCCTGGCGCCAGGCGTATGCCTTCGGCTGCCTGCTGAAGACGCTGTGCCTGTGCCAGCCGCCCCGGGAGGCCACTGCCGTGTCCGCGGCTCTGCGCGTGTGCGACATGGGCCTGCTGATGGGTGCGGCCATCCTTGGTGACATCCTCATCAGGGTCGCAGCCGTCCTGCAGGCACACTTGGTGTCTGGAAAGAGGCCCGACCGCAGTCCCGGACAGGAGCTGCCCAGCACGAAGGTACCTGGGGAGGCCGCTGCCGCTCTGAGTGTCCCGCAGTCCTGCTCCTGGAGCTGTCACACACCTTTGCCTTGGAGCAGGGCCTCATGCCATTCAGCCCTGCTGGCCGGAAATGGCGCCTCCATTGAGTTGGCCAGTGGAGAAGCTGGGTCCATACTGCCCAATTTTCTTTCCCAGTTTCCACAAAAGTAGTGGTGTTTTAGGAGCAGGAGGGCGACAGCTCTGTGGTTCCAAGCAAAGCAGTGTCCAGGGGGACGTGTGGCCCCAGCCCCACTTCCCCTCCTGTGCCCATGTATGGAGCACAAGTGAGCATCTGCTGTGAGCGGCCTGCTGTGCACTCCGTGTGGGGTTCCTGGTGTTTAGGTGATGACTTGGTTATTTTCTCGTTGCTGGGACAAAATACCTGATACCCACAAATTAAAGGAGGAAAAGCTTATTTTAGCTTACGGTTTGTAGAGGTCTCAGTCCATAGTGGGCTCCGTCCATAGCCGAGGAGGAAGAGTTTATCACATGACAGGCAGAGGGCAGCACAATCCCTTGTTTCCGTTTTTTATTCCACCCAGGCCATGAGCCCATTGGTTTGTGCCACCCACACCCAGAAACACTAAGCCATTCAGACAGCCATGACCCAGCCCCACCCGTGACACGCAGCGCTTCAGGTGTATTTAGAAGCCCTAGCAGCTGCCTTTGCAGAGTCCGCTCTAGGCCCTGAGCATTGTGAACCCGGAAGGCTCCAGAGCCCGGGGCAGACACAGGCCTCCCTGGTGAACGGGTTCCTGCCTGAGCCTTGGTTTTCTTGTCATTAAAATGGAAGTTAGATGCCTCAGAAGGAAAGACTAGGACCACGCTAGACAGCACAGGTAGAGTACAGAGTGTTTCTGACATACTTCTCAGTGCTCTCCTGTGTTTTTAGGGTTTTCTGCAGTATTATTTTTATAAAAGAAAAGTGCAGCTGGGTTGATGGCGCACGCCCGTAATCCCAGCACTCGGGAGGCTGAGGCAGGAGGATCACTGTGAGTTCGAGACCAGTCTGGGCTACATAGTGAGTTCCAGGTCATTCTCAACTACATAGTGAGACCCTGTCTCGAAAAACCAAAAAAAAACAAAGTGCAGATGGATGTCACATGCTCATGTCACAAGAGAAGACGCCAGAGGTGGGGAAGAGATGGAGACTGGTCCAGTCCTTCAAGGAGAGGCTGAGTCAAGAGGACTTGCCCCGAGTTGTGGCCTTCTCCCCCTGCAAGTGTGTCCCGAGGGAGGGTGACAGGTGGTCCTGCGTGGGCAGTGTCTGCCCCCAGGAGGTGAGAGTGTGGCCTTGGCTGGGTCTGGATTCCCACCCACGCACCTGTGACTTGGGCGGGTGTCTTGCCTCACCGCACCCTGGCCCTCTGATGTGGCTGCTTCTCCACCCTGACTGCTGCGGTGGGCGAGCCAGGCCGGATTTGTGGCGCAGAGCGCACCGCCTTCCCATGGGTTGGTCTCTGTGTGGGGAGTGTGCCCGACAGCCACCTCAGAAGGCTGAGGCCGTGGAGAGAGCAGGGGGACACGTGCCAGTCAGCCCCGGGCACCCTGTGTGACTTTGTCTCCTGAAGTTTAGAACCCGAGCAGACAGAGACCCAGGGCTGTGGGCAGCTTGCTTGGCCCCCGCTAAAAGGGGTTCACCAGAGCCCAGTGCAGGCATCCTAAGAAACTGCAAAGGCCACGACAATACGGGATCTGCTCTAGAGAAGGGACTAGGTGCCAGCCATGGGGTTGTCATCGTGATGGCTGTGACGTCCAGCAGGTGTGAGAGATGGGGCGAGGAGACACATGAGCAGGAACCTCTGTAACGGTGGACACTGGGACCGAAGTCGCCTGTATTGCAGTTTCCATGGCAGTGATGTTATTGTTATAGCTAAACAAACATTATTCACAAAATGGAAAGACAGAGACGACCTTATCTCATGAGAGAAATAGTAGAGTAATAACAGCGAGTGTTCTGGTACTAATGACACCTGAGCCGCCCTACCAGTGATGCCAGATTTTGAATTTCTGAGTCAGATGCCATTTTGTTTCATTTCAATTTTAGGTTTTGTTTTTTGGGTTTTTTTTTTGGTTTTTTTTTTGTTTTGTTTTTTTTGTTTTTTTGAGACAGGGTCTCACTATGTAGTTGAGACTGACTTGGAACTCACTGTGTAGTCCAGGCTGGTCTCGAACTCAGAACTCAATTTTGAATTTCTGAGTCAGATGCCATTTTGTTTCATTTCAATTTTAGGTTTTGTTTTTTGGGTTTTTTTTTTGGTTTTTTTTTTGTTTTGTTTTTTTTGTTTTTTTGAGACAGGGTCTCACTATGTAGTTGAGACTGACTTGGAACTCACTGTGTAGTCCAGGCTGGTCTCGAACTCATAGCGATCCTCCTGCCTCAGCCTCCCGAGTGCTGGGATTACAAGTTTGCGCCACCACGCTCGGCTCATTTCAATTTTAAACAGAAAGCAAGATGTGACCACGACGCCGCTCCAGACGTGCAGTTGGAAAGAGCAGTGCCCCGGCTCCGCTGTCCCTCCCTCCAGCACTTCCAGAAGCACTTTCTGGTTCCGGGGAGGCCCGTGGTCTTGGAGGGCGTGGCTGACCACTGGCCATGCATGAAGAAGTGGAGGTGAGTGGTCGCCACAGGGCCAAGAGGGCCCCCTCACCCCTTCCGAACTCCTCCTCCGGCCACCCACAGGCCTCTCACCTCCCACAGACTCTTTGCTGCCAGCCCAGGTCCTGCTGCCCAGGGGTTAAACCGGAATTAAAGTGACGCAGGCTGATTTACGTCTCGGGGTGAGCCTGTGTGTCATGCTGAGGGTCCTGGAGATTCCCCGGATCTTCCTGGGCCTGAGGTGAAGCCAAAAAAGGAGTGGAGAGGGGAGGAGAGGTCAGGCCAGCCACGGGGGAGCAGCTGTGCATGCATTGGGTGTGAGGAGGTTCGGGCCCCACACAGCTGTGGGCTCCGTGTCCTCAGATTCTGCCCATGCAGATCATTGTGGGACGCAGCTGCCCTTACACAGCATCACATTGCGTCAGGGTTCTCAGTGGGCAGGAGGAGTGTTTTGGACGCCAGAGGTACACAGAGGATGTGTGTGCTGCTGTGTGTCATAATGGGGACTGAACCAGGCCTTCCTGCTGAACTACATCCCCTACACACACACACACACGCTTTTTGAGAGGAGTCTCACTCTAGTTGTAGTTCAGGCTGGGCTTGAACTCACTATGTAGCCGGAGCTGACCTTGAAGTCGCAGCGATCCTCCTGCCTCAGCTTGCTTAAGGTCCCCTGGCTGGTTCCTGGAGGCCTGGGGTCCCGAGTCCGGGCACATGCCCACCCATATACTGCTGCCATTGTTTGGGTTTCACAGCTGAAGGACAGGAGGTGAGGACCACACCAGCGGGAAGCAGAGCGACCCACACGTGGCTCCCCCAAGACTGTAGCACTGCTTGGTGTATTGCTGTTTACTGGTTGTATGGCCTTGGCCTCCCACTGTGCCCAGTGTCCCCTCGGCCCTGTGAGGGGTGACAGCAGTCTGTGGTGTGGAGTTTGTGTCCGCCCACTCCACCTGTGCGTAGCAAGTGTCAGCTGGGCGCCCACGCTGACGGCCATGCGTGGGTTTCTCATAGTGTGGACTACGTCCGGGAGGTTGCCGGCTGCCGCACCGTCCCCGTGGAGGTCGGGTCCAGGTACACGGACAAGAACTGGTCACAGACCCTCATGACAGTCAGCGAATTCATCAGCAAGTACATCGAGAGTGAGGTGTGCAGCTGGGCAGGGGCAGGGCGCGGAGCCTGGGGTCTGTAGGCTGCCAACGAGGTACCAGGGCCCCATCTCAGGTCCCTTTGTGTCAGTACAGTTCAGTGGTGTTTAGTCTGTTTGTGGGATTTCCCAATGCCACTGCTATCTAATTCCGTGACAGTATGTCCCCCCAAAGATGCCCCACCAAAGCCAGGGATGTAGGTCTGTGGCCCTGCCGCCTGCCTTGCAAGCACAGGGTCCCAAGTTTGACCCCCCCATCCCATTACCAAAACAACAAAAAGCCCCACCCATTAGTCACCCTTCCCGCTCCTTCCCGGCCCCCAGGCACCATAGGCCTGGTTCTCCCTGTCAGTGTTGGCCTTTCCCGGACGCCGACACTGTCTGACACCTCCACGCACCACAGACGCCTCCCAGCCTGGCCAGGGAGGTCTTGGCCTTCACACTCGGGGCAGAAACACCAGCAGCTGGGGGTGCCCTGCTGGCGCTTGGCCTCAGCTGCTTCCTTCTTCCGCAACACCTCAACCCTCACTTCCAGACGCCGGGCTGTGCTGGCCTGATTAGCCAGAGGCTGCTGCTGCCTGATGCACTGCTTCCTGGGCCCCACTCAGCTGGTGTCCCCGACTGTCCCTGGGAGGTGGACGTGGCCTCAGGCTGGCTCCTGGGCCAGCTCATGATCCCAGCAGTGTCTGCTGGCTGAAGAGGCTGTAGGAGGGGCTGGGAAGGCAGAAACCCCCGGATCTAGAGGGGGCCCTGTGCTCCGACCGCCATGGCCTCAGAGCTGTCGAGTGAGCTGGCTGCCAGGACAGTGGGGTGACAGGTGCTCCGCTCCCCTGCACCCCCAGGGGACTGGGCCCTTTGGGCACCTTGCGCAGTGAGACCACTTTGAGAATCAGTCTGAAGACTACTCAACAACTCAAAACGGAGAGCGAGCCGTAGGAGTGCAGGCCTATAATCCCAGCACTCTGGAGGCTGAGGCAGGAGGATTGCTGAGTTCAAGGCCAGCCTAGACTATATAGTGAGTCCAAGGCCAGCTTAAACTACACACTGAGACCCTGTCTCAAAAAAATAAATAAATAAAAAACTAAACTAAAAATGGAAATTCCATTCCAGCCAGCCATAGCGCTCGTAGGGATTCTCAAGAGAGTTATAGACGCCTGACAAGTCAGAAAAGCAAACGCAGCTTTCTGGAACAGGGGTAGCTCATGGGGGAGCATGTGTTCAGTATGTGTATCCTGGGAGAGAAAGTAAGGAAATGTCAAGGAAGAAATACCTATGTATATAAAACCCTATTTTTACCTTTTACAGAGGTGGTTGCCAGGGCCTGGGGAGGGTATCGGAGAGCTGCCACTGTGGGTGCAGTTTCAGTGTGGCCAGGTAGAGAGAGAGCTGTGCAGATGGCAAGGAAGGCACTAAATGCCACTGAACCAGACACTGAGGAGGGGCCAAAATGTTAATTTTATGTTATGTATATTTTGCCAGACTTGTTAGAAATTATTTTTTTACAATGGAAAAGAAATGTATGCAAAGCGCCTGCATCACTTGAGGGGGTGGCCCTGGGTGGTTCCCTCCCACACCTGGGCTGGGAGGGCAGAGCAGACCTGTCTCCCACCCTCAGCCCATCCTGCTGGGAGGGCCCTGCTCACTGTGCCAGAGTGGAGGAAGGGGCCCGGCAAGACCGAATCGGGGCACCCAGCTGAGTGGCACCAGCGCAGGGCACATCTGCCGTGACTAACCGGGCTCTCTGTTCCCCTGCTTCTCTCCTGGGTAGGTGAGGGATGTCGGGTACCTGGCTCAGCACCAGCTCTTTGACCAGGTGAGTCTGAGACACCTCTGCATCCTTCAGCCCCCATCACCTTGCCTCCTTTCCAGGGAAGGAAGCTCTCCCCACAGAAGCAGGGACACCTCCTGGTGACGGCACTGTCCGCTCCACACCACCAGCAAGGACCCTGGGCTGGGAGGGCTGTCAGAAATCCAGGTGCAAGATGGGCAGTCCAGTGGTGCCCTTCCTGAGTCCCAGGCCCCTGTGGACTTGACCATCCCCTTCTGCCCGGCCTAGGCCGGAGAGACTCCCCAACCCACTTCTGCGGACAGGGGAGCTGGGGTGGCAGGGAGGGCAGCCCTGGGGACAGGCGCCCCTCACACCGAGGTGCCCATGGAGTGAGTGCTGTAGCAGTGGCCAGCCAGGAGGGCTGTTGAGAGAGGGGCAGGAGAAGGTGGGCATGTCCCCTGCAGGCAGCCTCAGCCCTGGGTTCTTCAGCATGGCACAGGCTTTTGCTGGCACCTCCACCTGTAGGAAGCTCAGGGTTCTCACCACATTCTTGCCCAGCAACCTGTTGCCATCTTTCCTCCTGGAGACCCTGTGCTCCAAACCTTTTGGCTACCCTTATAGGCCTGTCTTAGCTGTGGGCGTGTTAACCTCTCCCAGGCTGAATCTTGGGTCAGATCCTGGTCATGGGATCCCGCCAGCCAGTCACCTTTCAGAAACCCTGATGATGTCATCAGGAGCCAATCAGAGTTCTCCTCTGCATCCCACAGGGGCACCTGGGCACTGGGCAGTAGCGGCTCCGTGCCTCACTAGCCTTGGAAGAATGGGAAGCAGGATCCACACGGCCGCAGCCGCTGTCCCAGGCCACAGGCAGCGTAGATGCCGGTCTCCAGCTGCATCTTGTCACGCGGGTCAGCGCTGGCGCCCAGATGTAGCTGGCCCCAGGGCCCGTCCTCCCCAGTCAGGCAGCCCTGCACAGCATCAGGTCTCCTCGCTGCTCTGAGCAGGGCCTGCTGTCCCCAGCACCAGGAGAGTCAGGGACACCGGCTTGAGCTGGCCCAATCTGGGCTCATTTGCTAGAACACGGGAGCCCTGTAGCCTCGCATCTCGGGCGTGGCCTCTGAGTACTTGTGAAATTTGTGTTGAGATTGTGTCGCTCCGGCTCTGACTGCCTGACTGCATGACCCCTCTCTCCAGAGCAAATTTGACATATCTTCTAGTTTGTAGGTCTTCATAGTTAATTTACTTAAAACATACCAATTGTGGCCTGTTTGGTAAATTTTAGAAAAATTTCCCCTTTGGAGATCTGCTAAATATCCAATCCCATTTTCTTTTTGTTTTTGTTTGATTTTTTTAAAATGTGATTTTTATAGAAAATGATAAACTGGTTTATTCTTTTCACATATAAAGCACTAACCAGTTTTAAAAATGGGTAAATCTATACCACATGGCAACAAATATGAAAATAATATTCCAACTCTCACCTATGGTTACATGTTTTGGGTTGTTTTTTAAGTTCTTGCCCCCGGAATTCTGGCCCCAGGATGGTGGCGCGGGGAGACGTCAGCTGAGGGCCCCGGTGCCCAGGCGGACTCCCAGCCCCGCCCGCTCCCGCCTACAGATCCCAGAGCTGAAGCACGACATCGGCGTCCCTGACTACTGCTGCCTGGGCAGTGGGGAGGAGGAGGAGATCACCATCAACGCCTGGTTCGGCCCCGCGGGAACCGTGTCCCCTCTCCACCAGGACCCCCAGCAGAACTTCCTAGCCCAGGTGGGAGCGCTGCCAGGACGGGGGCTTCTCCCTTCCCCTGGGCCTGCCAGGTGACCCAGCCACTTTGTCCCCCCTTTAAACACCCAGTGAACCCCTGGAGGGGTGTGGACAGAAAGGAAAACAGTAGCAGCAGGTCCAGGGTGCCTCCCGCTGGGGCTGCTCTGGATGTGGCTCATCCTGGGCTCCCTGGAGGGGGAGCCACAAGCTGCCACTGCCGTCCACGACCACCTTCCAGGTACACATGCCGGGGCGGCTCCAGGCAGAGGAACAGAAGCTTGCAGGGAGTGGGGCGCAGCTGCCGGGTCAGAGCACCCCATTCTTCACGGGCAGAGTGGCACCCACCGGGCCAGTCCCAAGAGGCCACGTAGTAGATCGAGGCTAAGCACCAGGTCTCTGCCAGGGTGACTTCAGCTGTCCCCCAGCAGCCTTGCAAACTTGAACAGTTCGCTTCACCTCTACCTCAGTCTCCTCACTGTAAGGCAGGGGTGATGTGGAAGTACCTCTTAGGGCCGAGGAGCACGCAAGGCGACATAGTGGCTGGCCCAGGCCTGCAGGCCAAGCCCAGGCAGCGGCCTGTGGGAGGTGTGGGCCGGGAGCTGCGGGCACTGAGGGCCTCTCCCCACAGGTGATGGGGAGGAAGTACATCCGGCTGTACTCCCCGCAGGACTCGGAGGCCCTGTACCCTCACGAGACGCACCTTCTCCACAACACCAGCCAGGTGAGCGCGTGCAGCCCTGGCCGCAGGGCGCTCTTCCCCGTCCCCAGCCTGAGAGACCCACAGCAGCTTCTGCTTTCCTCAGGTTGACGTGGAGAACCCCGACCTGGAGAAGTTCCCCAGATTTGCCGAGGCCCCCTTCCTGTCGTGTGTCCTGGCTCCTGGAGAGATCCTGTTCATCCCAGTTAAACACTGGCATTACGTGCGGGCTCTGGATTTGAGCTTCTCCGTCAGCTTCTGGTGGTCCTAGCTGGATGAGAGTGGGGAGGGCCCGAGTCACACCCAGCCTGCACTCGCCACGCTCCGGCCCAGCCTGCGATTGAACAGGACAGGCCTAGGTGGCGGCCAGGACAGAGCAGGTGCATGGTACGTGTGGCCAAGCGAGGCAGAGAGGAGTCAGGACACCCAGGCACGCAGCCCACCCAGAGGCTCGATGCCCAGAAGCGGCAGGTGGGCAGTGGTTGGAAAGCACAGGCTTTGAATGCGCCCACTGAGCTCCAACCTGTTTTGTCTCTGAACTGCTGTGGCGTTTGCGCCCAGTCCCCTCCCTGCAGTGTCTGTGTCTCATTTGGAGGCTGGGGCAGCAGAGCTTCGGTCGCCCACCCCAGTTGGGAAGAGCACTGTACTTTGAGTTTATCAGAAGCCCGGAGCCCCTGGCCTGCAGGCTTGGGAGAGGCCAGCACAGCCCTGGTCAGGGGAGGATCCTTATCCCTGCCTGGCAGAGGGAGGTCATGGGCTCCCCTGGGTGCCCACACGCAATGTCAGCCCTCCTGCACCTGGAGCACCTGCCCTTCCCATTGTGTCCAGAGGTGGTGCGTGCTCCAGGGGGTGCCCAGGCCTAGGCTGTGTGCAAACACTGGCTTGTTTGCTTGTTTGACTTATGGCTTCATGGCCAGTCCACCCGTGGGCAGGAATGTTTCTCCTTATGTCCTGGGAAAAACATTTGGGTGGACATTTCTCAGAAGTGTCTGGGTTTTGACCTCCCTGGCATGCACCAAGTGACCATGAGATAAAGAGGAATTCATTCAAACCAATCACATGAGAAATTAAAGCTAAAAGCCCCTAAAATTACTTTATGGAAACTTCATTATCTTTTTAAAAACGTCATGTAAATATGACAAAATGTGAATCCTTTTCAGTTCTTGGTTGCAACACATGGGTGTCTTTGTAAAAAATCACAACTATAGGGCCGGGGATTTAGCTCAGTGGTTCCAGCGGCTGCCTTACGAGTGAAAGGACCTGAGTTCGATCACCAGTGCCAAAAATAAATAAGTAAAAATCATAACTAATAGACAAGCACAGTAAAACAAAGATGCCTGCTGAACTGGCTGTCAGCTGTGCTGGGCAGGGCTCCTGCTGGGGCACAGCAGCCAGGCACAGGTTCAGCAGAACAGAGAAGCTGGGGTGCAGAGGCTGTTGGGGGGCATGTGTGATCACTCGTAGCAGCAAGAGCTGGGTGCTAAGTCCCACTGTAAGAGGTGGCCCAGCAGTGCAGCGGGACAGGGTTATTATGCACTGGACAAGGACTTCCATATTTTACATTTTCACGAGGGGATCCTGTCACACTGGGTGAAATGCATAGTGTCCCTAAGCTTTAGGTAGTGACAGACCTATGCAGGCTCCACACGAGGGCAGTGTATCCAGGAGTGAAAAGTGTTTAATTTCCTATAATATTTCTTGCTCTATAATTTCCTTTGTTTTTTTTTTTGTACCAGGGATCGAACTCTGGCCCTTGCACTTGCAAGTCAGGTGGCAGAACCACTGAGCCAAACCCCCAGCCTCCACTGTTTTCAATAATGTAAATACACACATAGAAATTTAGGTAATTTTATCTCAAAAGTCATTTGTTCAACCAAATTCCCCTGCTGCCTGTGGTGGGGCAGGCAGAGACAGCAGCAGGAAGGAGATGGAAAAACACATTGCTGTGACCCCGGAGGAAGACCCACAGGTCCTTGGGCACATGTCCCGGGTGGGCCGTGCCACAGGCGGGAGAACGGGGAAGCAGAGGCCAGTGCAGGACCTGGGATGCCAGGAAGCCAGGAGTCGGCCTTGAGGACATGGGACGGTGGGGGCCCAGGCAGGTGAGGAGGCAGGTGCAGCCCAAGCACCAGTGGGGCTGGGACTCCTGCTGCTGTGACAGAAACCCAACTCAGAGGAGCCTAAACAGGAACAAGCCTAGATGTGTGGTCTCAAACTACAGGGACGGGCAGGGTTCTCAGCAGGGCGCCTCTCTGCCCTTCTCCACTTGGTGCCCCCTTCCCTTCCCCAGGGAGAGTATGTCCCTGCAGGCTCAAGTCCACATGGGTCTGGGAGTACTTCGAGCCCTGGGCTCAGCCCAAATCCAGAAGCTCTGGGGAGGTGCTGGGGGCTGGGTCTGAGGCCGCAGGAATGGCTGCTGTGATCCCCAGGCCGGGCGGCTCCAGGCCACCCTTGAGTGACAGACAGGAAGGGGTGGGAATGCAATGGCCTGTGGTTCCCAACGCCTCCCTCCACAGCAGAAACAACGGCTGGGCCGTAATGGTGCCATCAGCTGCAGCTTGCAGGGCCTCTGCTGCAAGGAACAGCAGCTGGCCTGTGGCTGGGTGATCTAACTTGAGCTGTGGCAGCCCACACCCCAACAGGTAGGGAGCCAGGTGCCAGTGCTGCAGGAACCCAGATACAAGGCTGGCTTTGGCAGCTGAGGCTGTGGACTCTGGCCTCTGCTTGGAACCCAGGCACCCATCACATTTAGCACCAAGGCCCGCTGACACCCGTGTTGGACACTGCCAGGCGAGGCTCCTCCCTCGTGGCGGGACTCAGATCTCAAGTCGCACAGTGGTGTCGCAGGCCACAGAATAGGGAAGGACGGGTGTGGACGTGACATGTGGGCAGCTGACAGATTAGGGAGAAGTGCGTGCCGCAGGAACCCGGAACTGGCACTGGTGTGGGTCCAGGCAGGGCGGCTGGGTGGGAGGAGGGGGAGAGAACACAGAGCGGGCAGGGAGGTCAGGTCACAGCTGTGCTGCAGGTAGACAAGGCCTGGACAGGACGGCTGGAGACCAGGGAGGCTGGAGACCAGGGAGGCGGGGGCAGATGGGAGCGGGGCCAGTGGGGGAGAAGGTGGGCAGGGCAGTCTCGGTCCTGGCCAAGGAGTGCCAATGCTGCCTGCAACCAGGGTGAAGGGCTAGACTGGAACCATGCGCAGGCAGGGCGAGCAGGAGCCAGCTGGCCCAGCAGCCCTGGACCCCCTCTAGGGTGGTAAAGGGAGGGCACTGAGCAGGAAGGGAGGGCTGAGACACCCCCTGGGGCCAGGCCCTTCCTACATCAGCTCTGCCTTCCCGGGCAGACAGGCGGCCTCCTGAACACTGCAGACATTTGCTGGCGGGGGGCTCTAATTGAGACCTCCCTCTTCCTCTTAACAGTGGGGGATGTGGGTGTGAGAACTGGAGGTATGGCCTCCATGTTGCCCCCATGAAGGCCGGTTTCTGGGAATCCACCTCATAGGCCTGAGCATAAGGCCAGCACCAGGAGAAGCAAGCAGAGCCATGACACCAGTGATGACGAACCTTCTAGAGCATTCAGTCATACAGAGCCCGCTGTGGCACAAGAGCCATCGGGTTGGCACCACTGCACCAGGCCAAGGCCGGTCCTCCTGAAGGACCCCGATGGCCAAGTTTTTCCTTGCTTGAGCTAGTTTGAGCTGACTCTTCTGTAACAGCTAAAGGGTCCTGACGAGTTGGGAGGAAGAGAGGCCGGAGACCACAGCAGGATGGCAAGTAAGGTGGCCAAGGGGTGCAGGGAGGGGCAGGGCACTGCAGTGGTGAGGGCCAAGATGGTACAGGAGGAGGCAGGCAGAGCCCAGCGAGAGGGCAGAGTGGGGGACACGGGCCCTCATGGGGACCAGGGCTCTGTGAAGCCGTCCCAGGGTCTTGGCGGGCAGGGCCTGCTGTGGGGCGAGCACACTGGGGCGGCAGGAATGGGCGCTGGGGAGCAGCTGCTGTGGGTGGGTAAGGGCCAGGAGGAGGGGCAGCTGGGCCAAGATGAGTCCAGCCCTGCTCGGCCTCATGCACCCTGGAACACGGGAAGGAGACCACAGGGAGCCAGGGACGCCAGAACCTGCATCCAGCAAGCCCTTGGCATGGCTTTATTCCAACCTGTCCACGAACACAGACAGTACCCTCACCCACATCGCACGGGCCTCTGACGGGGACGCTGGCTAATGCTGCCGGGACCGCAAGGACTTTCGGCTGGACCTGGAGCCGGCAGCCTCCCTCTCCTTCTCGGGGTCAAAGACTTCTGCACATGGAACAGGCGGGAAGACACTGAACAGCAGGGGCCGGCGGCTCCAGCAGCAGACAAAGCCTTGCTCAGCCTGTCGCCAGCCTGGGCCATCCCTCCTGCCACCCAATCCCCACCTGGAACCTCGTGCGGCCAGAAGTCGTCACAGTGCGGGCAGCGCGGGTCAGGGCTTGACTGGAAGTACTTGGCCACGCAGGGCCGGTGCATCCTGATGCCACAGGTCTCGCAGCTTTGCCCCTGGAAGAAGGCCGCAACGCGGGCTTACACACAGCCTGCAGGAAGCGTCACAGACCTGCAGGGTAGCCGCGGAGATGGCCAGCGGCTCTGCAGTCTGCTCTCCTGGACCTAAGTGGGTACTTCTCGCAATCCCCAGGTGCTCTGGACATGCGAGGTGAGCACAGCATGCACACCTGCGGTCCCAGCCGCTTGGGAGGCTGAGGCAGGGGGATCACAAGCTCCAGGTGCCCAGCCAGCGCCTGTTGCTGGGTACCTCGGCAACTCAATGACACCCTGTCTCAAGATGAAAGCGACCAAGGACTATGGCTGCAGCTCAGTACTGGAACACCACGGAAGAACTGCACAAGTGAAAGCAGGAAGAGCAGCTAGGACACAGGTCGCCCCGGCTTTCTCAGGCTCCCTGCACACGGTCCAGGCAAAGATGGCCACAGCTCAGCAGGAGGCGAACGGCGACGTGGATCACAAGCTTAACAAACAGCCGCACCTTCGGTGTGCACGTCCAGGACTCTGGCACAGGCATGACCCAAGTGACCATGGGCAGTGCACAGAGACAGGTGTCACACAGATGACACCGAGGAGGCAAAGCAACACCCAGCACCAGCTCAGCAGGGCACGCTGTGGAGACCACTCAGAAAAGGGTCCACACAGCTTCGTCACAGCACTGCTGAGTGAACGCCAGTTACACAGGGCTGGGGAGCACTTCCTGGAGGAGACTGGGCTGTGGGCGAGCGGGGACCAGGCCCAAGAGAGGCAAAGGGCCACCGCGGCCATCAGCCCACAAGGAGGCAGCACCCGAGCAAGCCGCTACATACCTGGATGAGGAGGCCGTGGCAGATGTTGCAGACCCTCACAGAGTCGGGGTAGGTTTCCCGGATGTACTGCTCCATCTCCAGGATGGCCCGGCCATGCAGGGTGAACTCCCCTTCCTTCTGCAGGACAAAGTGTGGGCAGCCGTCCTCAGCCCGAAGACACAGGCAGGACACCCCCTTGAAAGAGCCTCAGGCAGGGAAGATGGAGGTGAAGGTCCCTTTGCCCCTCAATCTTCTCTGGGCCTCGCTGTGTCTGACAGATGTGACCCCTCCATCTGCAGGGGTGCCCCGAAAACAGAACAGTCACAGACCTCCAGCAGGGGGACACGGGCCCTAGCTGGGGCAGGCGGTCTCCCCGCTGCCCCATTTCACGGCTAGGAAGCAGCACTGCCCCCATCAACACCTCCACGGGTGCTGAGCGCGCCTGGTCATGTCACTGCAGGGGAAGCGCGAAGGCATCAGAGGACAGGGACAGGGCCCCGTCTCAGAGTGCCTCCCATGTCTTGCCACAATGAAAACTACCTGAAACCCTCAGGGAGCCACGAGAGCCACTGCCTGTGTGGCAGGGGGAGACAGAGCAAGGAGGACAGAGCAGGTGCCACAGGAACCTGCCAGTTGGGATGTGAGCCTGTTAACCATTTTTGCTGCACCTTCCATGGTGGGGAGCAGGGAGGAACCAGCATAAAGGGTGGCAGGGGGGTGGACAGCCCAGGCCTGGCCAGGAGATGGTGCCGCTGAAGAAGGAAGCCCACCCCCCTGGCCCAAGCACTCCCTCCATTTCACAACTCTGAGAAGAGCTGAGATCCCACCAGAAACGCTGCAGTCAGCAGCACCAGTGACTGTGGACAGCCTTGTCTCTGAGATGGAAACACCGCCCTCAGCCGGGCCTCCACTGAGGCAGCAACGCCAACAGGTACCTGTCCCCAGGCTGGTACAGCTCCTCAGGGGCCAAACAGCAAGCAAGAGCAGTCCCACAGGCACCGCAGGGTGGAGACCCCGGCCTGACAAGCCCTGCAGTACTCCCCGCCCAGCAGCTCAGTCCCCCTGCCGTCTCTGAGACACCGAGGGAAGCACAAGGAGGACGGGCTGGATCTGGAACTCAGGCCCAGAGACCCCAGAAGTGGCTGGCCCCAGCCTGCCTGGGCACCAAAGGGCGGGGCCGAAGGAAACCCTCCTGTAATGCCCAAGTATTTCTTCTACCACTCAGGGAGCCTTATGGGGCTCCTGCAGGTGCCAGGTATGTTATGCAACAGGGGCAATCACGAAGTCATACCTGTCTTTCAGGAGCTGGCCCAGGGGACAGTGTGCCACAGGGAGGAGAGTCGGCCCCAACCTGATCTCCCCATTACCAAGTCCACCCAGCCAAGGCCTGACCACGGGCTGTGCCACCCACAGGGCGCCAGTATAACCAGACTGCTGAGCTGTTAGCTAGAACCCAGGCTCTCAGACCCCTTCCCAGGGCAGCAGGGACTCTCATAGACTGACACACGGCCAAGCCCCTAGCCCCGCCCTGGCTCCCCAAGACCCTTTCTGCCCCTTCCGCCCAGCAGGCACCCAGACCAGAATTCAGGGCAGACTCCACATGTGCAGCTCCGAGTACTGGAGATGAGCGGAGGCCAGCTCCCTTGGAGGGGACCAAATGGCTGCTGGAGCCACAAGCAGCAGCCTCAGCCCCAGGTCTGAGGCCCAAGAAGCGGGGCCAACACAGCTCGTCCAACAAACACCTGCGAGGCGAAGTAGGCCTGCACCCAGCTTGGCCTGGGCCTTCTAGAAGCAGTGCTGTCTTCCTGGAAAGAGCAGAGCCCTCTGGCTGCTTGTACCAGCAGGCCTGCTCACAGCCTGGGCTTCTGCACCTCCTCGGGCCCTGGACAACAAACGCAGACACAACACCACGATGGCAGCAGGGACGCACGCCTGCGCTGTGCACCGGAGGGCTGGCGCTAAACACCTTGTGGCTGTCTCGTTCCCACTCCCCACCCTAGGAGGCAACCACATTTCAGGCCCCAGGGGGCTGAGACAGGTCAGCCACCAGGCCGTGCTTCCTCACTGACCCAGCCTGCCTCACAGTCCCGACCGGAACGAAGCCTAAGGGAGCCTGGAGCAGAAAAACCTGGGTGCCGCTCCCAGCTCTGCCACTTCCAGCTGCGGCTCCTTGGCAGATCCAGGTCCCCGTCACAGGGCCACAGCGGGGGTGACGGGGCCCGGCAGGGAAGGCCCCGACGGGTACCTCGATCAGCCACTTGCTCTGCACGAACTTCTGCAGCACTTGCTCAGCTTCCTTCTTCTTCATCTTCTTGCCTTTCAGTTGATCGACCAGGTTCAAAATGTTTGTGGAAGATGCAAAGCCAGTTTCTGAGTCAACGATCATCTCCAACTGGAAAAGAGAGATCAGGTCCCCATTTGTCTCTCCAACCTGCAGGTGTGGCTTTCAAGCCATCAGCCGGGCCCTGGCTGGGACGCAGCCCAGCTGCTGGCACCCCAGGGCCCTGCACCCTGGTGCCGATGGGCATCAGGGCCACAGCATGCCCTGTCCGCTGACCAGAGCAGTCATCTCAATGCCCGCCCCCCGGGGAGGGAAGGTGAGACAAGCGGAGGAGGCAGCACCTCTCCTCAACCGGGCCGGGCAGGGAAGGCAGAGGAGCCGAGCTGGGTAGGCCAGGAGACCATGTGGATGACGGCTTCCTGCAGGAGCACGAGTGCACCCCACCCCCAGCCTGGCTCTCGAGCTGGGGGAGCTGGGGGCCGACAGCCCAAGAAGGAACCTTTAAACCACGGACCGGTCCCCAAATACAGTCTCCAGTCTGGGTGGTCTCGAGCACCCGTGGGGCCGGCACAGCGGGGCCTCAGCTGTGAGTGATGACACCAAGTTAGCACCGCTCCGGATGGTGTGCTGCTTCCCCGTGGGCATTCTGGGCAGCCCGGCAGGTTCGCACCTGGGCCAGCATGCCTCCTCAGAAGCTGTGGCAGCCTGCATCTCCCCGGGACCCTCGCAGATGGCTGTTTCCCTCTATGCTCCAGACAGAGGTTTCCCATAAGCCCAGATGCCAGGCAGTGGGACTTACTCCACTACTTACAGCCTTTCTGAAGAGATCCAGTTCATTCTCTGCAAAATCCGTGGACATTTTGGAAACTGGAGTTGTAGCAAGATTCACCTAAAACGTTAGTCAGCACAAGGATCAGCCAGAATTTTAATTCTGGGCTGGCCGCCCCTCACTCCAGGGCCTGCCTGGTGGAGCTGCTGCTCCAGTCCCTCAGGCCACCACCAGAGGGCAGTGTGTGCACTCACCAGTGCATAAATGGGTCTCCCGTCATCTTCGGTGACTCCCTTCTTTATCTCAATGTACAAGGACTCCAGGGCACTGTTAATGTTGTTGATGAAGTCCTCCAACTTGTCTACTTGAGCATTGCCTGGAAATGAAAAGGCAAAAGGGGCAAGGGCTTCATCAAAAAGGCGTTGCTTTGATTACTCTTTCTGGGGCCCTGGACTGGCAAAGGCCTTCACTATTGGGCACAAGCCAGTGTGTGTGGTTATTATCTTGGCATATTCAGTTGAGCAGCTGAGATGAAGGATGCGGTTTGGCAGAGGCCGCAGGAAATGCTATGTGAGGCTGAGGCTGCCCGGTCCTCCTGCCTCTGCTCAAGGTCCCAGCCCCATCCTGGCAAGGCCCAGGGCACACTGCCGCCAGCGACCGCTCCCCACCACGCCCCCAGAGCAGCCTGTCCCTGCACAGAGCACTGTTCCTTTCTCCCTCACTCCATATCCAGGTACCACGGCCGGCAGGGTGACAGCAAGGCCCAGGGAGCTCGAGCCACGCAGCCATGGGCCTCTTCCCCACTCGTCCCGGATAGGAGAGGCTGTGAGCCAAGTCACAGCACCTGCCTGGGCAGAAAGCCTGGCTCCACCTCGAGCTGGCTGGGCGTTGGGGGCTGACCCAGTGCCCAGTCCCACGGGGGGTGGTGGGACGGCCGCTGCTGAGCTGAGGGGGGGGACAGAATGATGCTGCAGGGGTGAGACGGCTCGCGGGTGCCTCCGTGGGGTGTGGCCTCCAGTGCTGAGAGCCAGCTCATTCTGGAACGGCCCCTCTGCCGCGTCGTGCTTTTCAGACACCCGCATCTCTTTAATGAAGCATATGGACTTCCACACACAATCTACACGCGCAAGTCACGCACACGCGGTGACTGCACCGCCGGCGCCTGGACGAAGCGCAGACCATGTCCCTGTGCCGGGGGACTGCACTGTGGTACTGCTGCTTTCGCTTACTAAATTTTCAAAAGATTTATGTCTTCTCTTAATTACAAAAAAATGCTCCCACTTACGTTAAAAACCGTAACAGAACCAACAAAACAGTCCTGCAGGAAGGCAGCACGGAAGGTTGCCACCCCTCGGCTGACGACCAAGCCCACCACGCGGAAGGGGGCCCAGGGAGGATCATGGCAGCGGCCCTGAGCGCGTCCCTGTCTGACTCTCACAGGTGTCTAAGCCTCCCGACACGTGAAGGAGATGTGACCACCCTGGTACAGGGCCGACCGGCGGGGCCCACACAGCAGCGCTAAGGCACAGCTCACAGCGGGGATCCCACCTCCCCTTGAAGAACAACTGCTGTCTTATTTTTTCCAAAAGCAATGTAAGATGCTCAGCAATGATGAACAGGTGGACGTGGATGTGCACAGCCGTGAAGGAAGCAAGACAATGAAACTCGGGCAGGGCTGCCAGGAAACCTACCAGGAGGGAGGCAAGACCACATTCGCTGACCCTCGGGCGCTCAGGAGCTCCCCACCCACACAGCACCCACTCGGGCAAGAACTCAGAGATGCCTCGCACCAGGCACAGGACACACCCTGTCCACCCGGTGTGACAGTGGCAAGTCCTACCTCCCCTGGAAGTGATGACTCACATTTTCCGCTGAAGCGGCCCCTCATTCAGAAAAATGTGCTGGGTGGGCAGACCAGAGGCGTTCTAACCTGTCAGACTTTCCACCGCCCTGTCTGCCCTGCCACCTTGGCGTGCACTCACGCTGCACTCGGGAAGGGGCGCTGCCCACCGCTGTCCCCTGCAGAGACCAAGCATCTGCTCAGTGCCCTTCCCAAGGGCTCCCCTTCCACATGCAGCTCCCACAGGGCTGTCTACCTCTCCCTCCACGACCTGCGAGGGCTCCCCACGGACACCGTGGGGGGGACCTTCTCTTGCCAGCCCCTCCTGGCAGCAGGGACAGCACCAGGGGCCGGGTCTCTCCCCTCGGCCTCACACCGCACACGCCGCATTTGACCCTCCACCCCACCCTCCAGCCACGGTTGCTGAGACCCTGACATCCTCCTGGCCAGGCCAGGCCAGCAAGCCCAGCTGCCCACCCACAGCCCTCAACTCCTCAGTTACCATCTGGCCACCCACACCACAGGCACCCACCGGTGTCTGGCTGCCCTCTAACAGTGCTCTCCCTAACAAGACCCCAGCCTTCATTTTTTCCTTTAACTGTACAGAGGGAACCTGTGTGGTTCTGACACTCAGGGAACCCACAAGCGGGAGCTGAGGAGGCCACAGCCTAAGTCAGCAGGAGGAGCCAGTACTCGCGGCAGCAAATCAGGCAGGCTGAGCGGGGACCAGGGCCTGCTGGAGAGGCTTCTGCCTGAGGTGCTACTCGCCCCGACTACCCTGCCCCGCTCCACCCCAGGGCCCAGTCAGCCTGCAGCCCTCTCCCAAAGCCAGTCCTCAGCAGGGCAGTGGGCACATGTCTGGTTTGCAGGTGGCAGGTCCCCGGCACACCCGGGCCGGGCCCCAACCTCCACTCTTCAGAAGCAGCACTGGCTGAGCTCCCTGCTCTGTCCTACTGTGCCTTCCTGGCTGTACTCCATAAATCTGCAGAGACACACAGGGCAAAGGCCCTCGGTCTGGGGTCAGGTCAGTGCCTGAGAGGAAGCCTGCATGCTGTGTTGCTGAGACAGCTACTCCCCGGGCACACGCCACCCAGAGGGGTTAAGAAAAGAACACTGCTCCTCTCTTCAGAATCTGGAAGCCACTGAGAAAGGGTACGGGCTTCACTGAGTACACAAGGTCCACTGTGCAGGGAGGGCATCTCTGATGCTACCAATGCAGGAGATGACAGAGTATCCGGCAACAGGGAGAGGAAGGCCCTAGTCTACCACCATGGCCTCTCCACAGACAGCAGACACTGACCAGGACAGGGAGCCCCACGCTGGAACCAAGCACGGGCAGCCCGGTATCCCAGAAGCCCTGTGGACGCAAGTGTGTGCACTTCTCAGGGGCTGCGGGAAAGCAGGGTGGAAAGTCGGCCTGTGCACGGGCAGCTGTGATTCAGGGGCTCTGTGCATTTCATCAACCTGACAGGAGCTATTAACACAGGAGGCCTGGACAGATGGAGTAACTCGCTCAGTTTCCCTAACTTGGAAGTGCAGCCCAGGCCTGGCTGACAACAGATCCCCAGCCCCCAGGCACGAAGCCAGTGGGCCCTGCGGAGCAGACCGGAGGCCATTCCCACGCCAGACACACACACACACACACGCACGCACGCACCCTGCCGCATCACAGAGGGGTTCTGCCCACACGGGAACATGACAAGGACAGCAGAGGAGCTCTGAAGAAGCGGTGTCCTCCTTGGCCAGCCCCGCTCACAGACAGGCTTGGTCGGCCCACCTGCAGAGGGGTGAGGGAAGATGAAGGCCGGGCAGCCTGGCAGCGCCTTTCCCGATGTGGAAGCCCGGCGGGGACACCCGCCACACCGAACCACACTCTTCTTAAGGGTCAAGGGGCTGGGTTCATTCCCTTCAGCCACTGTTTTTTCTGTATTTTCTGCTTTTCTCAAAATGTCTAACAAGTGAACCCCTTCTGGGTGAATCAGGGTCCCTGGTTCCCAGAGGCCACTGGGACCATGGGCTTGAACAACAGGCAGCCAGAAAGTCTCCTGCCCTCACTTCCCACCAACCGACAGATAGATAGCTCTGTTCTAAATTAGGCACCAAAGATAAGAAATGCTATTTTTAGGCAAAAAAAATAAATAAATAAGAGCAAAGAATAAGCCCCCATGGCCCAATCCACCTTGGGGTTCAACCTGCCCTGCAATAGCACCGAGGAGACTGTGTGCAGGCACAAAGGGAGGGGACAGCAGCAGCCCCAAGATTTCACCTCTCGGCCTGCAGCCCTTAGAAGTCCTGAAGGAAAAGGCAATTTCAGCCTTCAGACACGGTGCACAGCGAGAGCTGTCAATGGCACCTCCAGAGTGGAGCTGGGGTCAGTGCCTGGAAGAACCCGGTGGCAGGAGAATCAATCGCCTTTTCTGTGGTGAATGATCCAATGTGTCAAGCAGTCCCGACACCAGCATGTCAATTCTCTGTGCACCACAACAGCACCGCTCAGAAGCCACCACAGCCAGTCAGGAAGAGTCACTGCCTCTGTCTTTCAGCAAAGGCCCCAGGGTCAGAGAATAGAAGGGCAGGGTTGGAGGGCAGTAACAAACCTAGAGCAAAAACCAGACAGGGCCCACACATGGTTTAATGCAGACAGCAAGACTCGAGCCACCACTCTTCAAAACTTACTGCCGTGCACAGTGATGCCCGAGGGTTCCTACACAGCAGCCCTGGGGTACATGGGGGCACAGCCAATGAGGCTGGCCACATACACCGTGGTTTGGCCTGGGCAACGCACTGCACTATGCCACCCCACCTTCCTCCAGGGCTCACGCTTCCCACTGTACCAAGCTCAAAGTAATCCCCGCTCCACCACCATAGACCCAGACTTCTTAGTCCTCCCAAGTCCACATCAAAAGCGAGAAAAATGGGCGCCTGGACCAGGGGGCTCAACAGAGCCCTGAAGCTACACGGGGTGGCTGCGAACCAACAGCCTGCTCCCAGGCACACCGGCCCACTCTGGAAACCAAGAGGCATGACACTTCCCCTCGGTTCCTGGCACAGTTCCCGTGTCCGGCTGCTCCCACAAAGGGAGCCAGAGCCCAGATGACACCACCGGAACAGGACAGGGACACTCGTGGGCCACCAGCTCTGGACCAGCGGGAGCCAGCACACTCACCTGGCCGCACTGACACAGGTGTCCACTCCCAGGCGGTGGAACCACCTGCCGACAGCTGTACACCACCCACCCCCAGCAGCCCTCCGCTGCGCCTGGCCAGGCCGGGGCACACGGGTGCCGAGCTCACACCCAGCACAAAGACTGCCCTGCTCTGACCACAGGCTCCTTCAGGCTTTCACGTGGGCTCTCCTGCGGGGTGGAGGGATTGTTTTTTAAACACTGCATTAGCATTCCGGGCATGGGACACCCACAACCTACAGGAGAGGTCTGAAGCAGCTCCTGGTTCTGGCATCGCCTGGCTCAAGGCAGAACCCTCATGCAGGCGCTGCAGAGGAAAAATGCCAAGTTCAAGTCATGGCAGCCAGGGAGA